CCAACTCTTGGGCTACTCTTTTACCAACGAATAGTGGGATTGATCGTCACATTATAATGCCCCCACGGCTGAAAGGGCGAGCATGTTTGGTGTGACGGGGATTCGAACCCGCGACCCGCAGATTGGGAGTCGAGTGCCCTAACCACCTGGCCATGCCGGGCCAGGTGTGCAGAAGTCATTTGTAGACTTCCACCAAATAACAGTAAATGGGAAAACGTTAATGCTGCTACTGAAAAGCATACTATTCTCTTTTAATCTTGATATTTATAAACTAAGAGCTCACACAGCAATCATAGAAGGGCGAGGCTTAAAGTAGAGTGGTCTCTCATATTTTAAAATAAAGCCTATTGACCATGCTACGCTCATATCATAAATCTATGTATTGTGATATATGTAGGACATCCAAGTAACTAGGCATATGATGAGCAGTACGTCTTCACTACACACGTCTTTATAAAAGGATCAACTAAATGCCATGCTGTTTTTGATGTTTTGCTTGAAGGGTTATTTTTATAGCCAGGTTATAATATTGAATCGCTTAGTGAAATAGTTGGAATTCTATTCTTAAACGCTTGTCACCATTTTGTTCAACATATCCGAAAGAGATGACCGACCGAGTGGTCAAGCAAATGCCACGCATAAAATTACTACCAGGCCTGCGATTACCAAGACAAAGATTTATCGTGACAAAATTTGGTGGAGAAAGATATGGAAGTATTAATCAAATCCTGGCAAAAGTTTCTGAAGAATATCATTTGATTTGCAAAAACTGGTGCATTTGTAAAGATGAATTGACAGCAGATCTGAAGATATTCAGCACAATGGTTGGAAAGAAGGAAAGTAAGTTGGATAACGATGAATGTTAGATGACGTTTTTTAAAGAACAAAATCTTGGCAACAGCTTAGGTAACATAAATATTCTCTTTCGACTGTTCCCTATGATACTCGTGAATATTGCAGTGTGTGTGAAAGAAATCTTCCCTATCTACGTCGTCTGAACAACTACCTGCGAAACACTGACAAGCAGGAATACCTTTCTGGATTAGTCATGTTACATATAGCACGGGATATTCCCATCGATATAAAGTGAGGGGTTGATAATTGAGGTTTTATGAAATGCAAGCAGACGGTGATAAGAAGACTGTTAAAAATGTTATATTTTGAGTTTTCCTAATTGATGCTGTAGCTAGATGGATACATAAACACAGCTTTTTATTCCACAGTTGCCTTTTCTAGTCTTATTTTATGTTTCAACGTAAACTTCAGATGTCATACACATTTGATTTGGGACAGTGAGAAATAAAATTATCGTGTAATGGTAAGGTAGTGTCTAAAACTGTTAGGAACTAGCATTATCTTACTATTATGAAGGTAGCGTGTATGTCAGTATATTTGTATGTAACCAAAACTACAGAAATGTCTTTAAACATCAAAATATTGGTACAGAGATAAAATGTTAATTGTTTAAAGACTTTTCTGTATTCTTAAGGTGTGTTTTAAACTTATAAGAAGAGGATCCTAAAGAAAAATTGTGCTGAAATACAATATCTCAATGTCAGAAGTGGTGATTCGGTCTTATGAAATGTATCGCCATCTATTGAATAGCACCACAAACAATATCCATAAAAGAATTTCACTCTTCGGTATTTAAGATTCAGACAATTTGAAAAATAACTAATGATATGTGCAACAACCATTTCTTTATAACAGAACACAGTTTTAAATAAAAGTACTCTCCTCACAACAAGAACACAACTGTCACTAGGACTGTACGTGAGGGTTTGATTATGTCTTTATTTATGTAAGTTGTAAATACAGTACTAAAAAGGCCCAGCATGACAAGGTGGTTAGGGCGCTCGACTTGCAATGTGAGGGTCGCGGGTTCAAATCCCAGTCCCACCAAACATGATCGCCCTTTCAGCCGTGGGGGCGATATAACGTGAAGGTCAATCCCACTATTCGTTGGTAAAAGAGTAGCTCAAGTGTTGGCGGTGATGACTAGCTGTCTTCCCTCTAGTCTTGCACTGCTAAATTAGGGACAGCTAGCGCAGATAGCCCTCGTGTAGCTTTGCGCGAAATTCAAAACAAACAGTACTAAAAAACTGGAGTTCTTACAAAACTATTATTATTTCAATAAACGGTATCACTTTTAATATACAAAAACATTACAGTTTATATCAGTAACATTTATGAAAATGTTGAGCTATTTACATTGAATCATTCTGATACAATAAGTTGCTTATGACTAACGAGCACAATCCGAACACTTTTCTCATGCAGTACTTCCCATAAAAAAAATTATTTTTTTAGAAAATGTTCACTTTTTTACAATTAGGTATGAATACTACGATTAGAAATTACTAGCACAAACAGCCGCCCCAGATGCGGCGTTTCTGCTAGTATTTATTAATTCAAAATTCACACTTGCAATATTAGAGATAATGAAATT